CATGCACATGCCGTGCGTGTGTGTGTGTGTAGTGCACTCACCAGCGATCCGCTCTCAGCTGCACCGCTGCTTCTGTAATCGCGAGCTGATGCCTGTGAGTGTGTTTGTTAAGGCTGGTTTCTCCGGGTCGCTCTCGCCCTCCCCAACCGCTGCAGAACCCTCCACCGCTCAAGGAACAGCCCACCGGAGACACATGCAATGTCACATGCACCGCCACACTGAGTGCTTCCACATGGCGCAACACACAAGCACAAATTTCCATGGACGAATAAAGAACAATTCCTGCATACCAAGTGGCCGTCTTAAAGACGTCGCATGTGTTTAGGCTGAATGCTGCTCTCCATTACAACTCCCTCCGGACCACTGGCCAAGTCAAGGTGAAGCAAGCCATTAAGGAGAGCAGGCTAGCGTTCACCTCTTCTCATCATCCCTCATCACTCGCTGTGCCTCTGTCCTCCAGTATCTTTCACTCCCCCTCCGCTTTTGACTGCAGCCCTTCACCGGGAGGTGTTTGTGAGTGACATCACTCCGAGGATTTCCTTTTGTTCCGCAGACAGATCACCTCTCCCTCTCTCTCGCTCTCCCTCTCTCTCTCTCTCTCTCTCTCTCTCTCAGAAACGCACAGTGCTGCGAGCTATTTTTAGCAACAGAAAAAAAACACAGCACGACTACAAAGCAGTAGGTTGCTAGAACTTGCGACACAGAGAAAAATACAGTAAAAAAGGAGCCCAAAGTGGCTGCGCATTATGAAAAGTTGCCTGCGTTAGAAAAGAAAATTGCAAGGGAAATCCATTTTGTCTCCATAGTTTCTCCTAGAGTGCAATGAGATAAAGTGCAAATGGAGACTTTAGCTCATATCTACTGCTTTTCAGGATATTCTCTGGAGGATAAAACCCAGTAATCTCTCAATAATGCCACAAACCCAGATTTGAAGAAATCTGCAGTCAAGTCTTCTCAATATGAACTCCAACATTTTTCATCAAAGATTATAAAATAGATTATACCCTTTCTTTGTAAATAACTTTCTCATTTGCAACAGTTTGTATTTCTCCTAATGAAATTCAAGAATATGATATAATACAAAATATAATATAATATAATATACAGTGTGACAAACTTAATTCCATCTAGAACTTTTTAAAGACTATTTTAATTCTTTTTGATTATTAGGCATGTCTCAATAACTTTAAAGACTACTTAGAATAATTAATAGAGACTAAATGAACACTTCAAGAAAGTACATGGAAAAGACTTTAAAAATTAAAAAGAAATCAACAAAATTAAAGATTAAAAAACAAAAATGTAATTAATAGAAATTTTTCACACCAGCAGGACCATTTAAACTACACTAAAGCTATAAATTCCAGTGGCCAAAAAAATGCAGATTTTTGGATTTTGTTTTACAATAATTTTTTTTTTAGTTTATTTATTTGTGAAATTGACTAGCTAATTTACTAGTTGGTTTCAAAGGAAATCCTACATCATTTCTGCTTTCAGTACAGAAAAAAAGATGATTAAAATGGACCTAAGATACAGACTTTCCCCTTATACGTTCGTGCAAATTTGAACCTATTATGATTTTACAAAACGTTTTGTCGTTTTGTGTCAAGTACGCACATGCAGACATACAGAAATTGACATTCTGAAAACTCATTTAAATGCATTGTCAAGTCTTTAAGTCTTTTACAATGTCTCTGTGCTCAAGATATTGAACGAGAAGTCTGCAATCAAAAGTCTCCTCAATTTCTCATCAAATTATTCCAAGACCAAATGATCCAAGCTATACTATTCAAATTAATTGATAGATTTTGATCACAAGAATTTTTTTATTTGGGACTGTTTGAAAAATGGATACTAATAAAACACAATCAAGCAGTGCTATCCATTTATAGCTTTATTACTTTATATCAATCTGTGACTATTTTTATTTCTACTACAGAATTCTACAAGACACATCTGTTGCTACTTCAGTAAAACATAACAGAGAACTCAATTAAGTCTCCAGTGACATAAAAGAGCAACCTCTGAGCAATATAATTCTCCTGTGGGCAAACCTTCAAGAGCCTCAGGAGGACCATTAACCAGCACAGAACAAACTCCCTCATAGTGAAGTGTGTCATTTCTGCACGACAGTGTCAGTGGAATCACAAAAACAATGTTTGAAAAATGGGTTTTGAGTGGGTTTGGTAATGTATTTCTGAAATCTGCAGATTGCCACGCTTGTTCTGAAGAAAAAGAACACACAATTTATTGCTCTCAATTAAGTCTCCTGTGACATAAAAGAGCAACCTCTGAGCAATATAATTCTCCTGTGGGCAAACCTTCAAGAGCCTCAGGAGGACCATTAACCAGCACAGAACAAACTCCCTCATAGTGAAGTGTGTCATTTCTGCACGACAGTGTCAGTGGAATCACAAAAACAATGTTTTCAAATGGGTTTTGAGTGGGTTTGGTAATGTATTTCTGAAATCTGCAGATTGCCACGCTTGTTCTGAAGAAAAAGAACACACAATTTATTGCTAAAAAAAAAGCATCTACATGGGCCTCTCAATAATTTATAAGTATAATGAGCATCTGTTGTTTTTCTTGGCAGTGGGTGATTTCTTTTTCTGAGGGGAAAAAGCATTTGTTGGAGCAGGCGGAGCGTAGCAACTACCTCACACGCATCCACACGGCCCACTGTTAAACAATATGCCAGCGATCAAATCATCCAAAACATGCTCAGTGGAGCACTAACATCTCTGCTGCTAAGAATAACCCCTCGCTCTCTGTTGTTTCTTTTTATAGCCATGCCTGGGGAGCCGGCCTGCAGATTTGCAGATTTTAGAAGGACACGACCACAGTCGCTGCTCCTCGGTTTGATCTCAGCTGACGACACTTGTTTACTTGCTCGCAAACACAAACACACGTTATACCATGGAAAAGCACAACAATACAACCCTGAGGCAACATTTGCATGTTTCACAGTGCAGAAAATAAGTATCTTTCAATGATTTTCTAATAATGGACGTTTCTGGGTTCTCTGAAGCTTAAGTCGTTGTACGTCTATAGTGGCGAACGGAAAATAGTTTTGTGTTCCCATTTGCTCCAGTAGCCAAATAAAAATCCTGTCATGCACAATCATGTTTCCAAAAACTAATAAATAAATAAAGAGATTTACAGCAGTCAGAAGAGAGAAAGATGTCAAATTTACTGTCACTCCCTCAGATGTTGTATTAGAAACATCCTGTTGTGTGCAATGGTAATGTTTTCTTTATGTAATTTAATGCCAATATAATAAAACACAAAGTATAACGTTAAAAAAAGCAATATTAAAAACATGTTTTGCTACATTTATGATGTTAATAACTCTGGAAACGTGCCATCACAGTCCATTGTAAAGAGATTTGGATATTTACAGTATTTATCTGTTCCGAAATTGTAAAGGATAACAGAGATATGACATGATAATTGTCATGGAGCGCCACTGTGAGGAGCACGGAGACGAAGGAGCGAGGAGAGGAATTCAAACATATAGATTTTAATAACATCCAGGGAACAAGGAAAACACATGTAGCAAGGGTAGACATACAATTCCGGATGAAGGAGAACAGAACGGGCTAGAACTCAAATAGGACAGATAAGGAGGGGCAGACAGGTGAAGAGGAAAACTAATAACAAGGAACACCTGGAACTAATAGAACTAAATGGGGACAGGAACAGGAAGGACCAAATAAGGGCAAGGAAGGCACATGGGGAGCAAAACACACACAAAACTAGGAACGGAGTCTGACAATAATATAATATAATATAATATAATATTTTCCAGCCTTTTGGAAGATATTTATCTGTTCTGAAATGGTAAAGGATAACAGAGATGTGACATGATTTTATGAATAGTTGAGTTAGAGTTGAGTAGAGTTTGGATTGATTCATTGAAATGGATAGCTTGAAGTGATTCACAGAAATGAATTGAACTTGCTAACTGTAACAGCATCTTTGCTAATTAAGTTTTGATGGGTCCACAACATGCAACATTCTGACTATGAGAAACTTTGCAAGTATATGTCAACTTATTCTACTAAACCTAAACCTAACCAAACAGTCTACTCCGAGAGTTATGTAGTTGCAAATGAACGAGAATTAGTACAGTAGTTGCAAAGTTACTTAAAGGAACAAAATAGGCTCATTTTCCAACTCCCCTAGAGTTAAACAGTTGAGTTTTACCGTTTTCGAATACATTCAGCCGATCTGGCGGTAGCACTTTTAGCTGTAGCTTAGCATAGATCATTGAATCTGATTAGACCGTTAGCATCTCGCTTAAAAATGACCAAAGAGTTTCGATATTTTTCATATTTAAAACTTGACTCTTCTGTAGTTACATCGTGTACTAAGACCGACGGAAAATGAAAAGTTGCGATTTTCTAGGCCGATATGGCTACGAACTATACTCTCATTCCGGCGTAATAATCAAGGAACTTTGCTGCCGTAGCATGGGTACAGCAGGCGCAATGATATTACGCAGCGCAGATATTAATAAAATGTCTAAAGCGGACTATCAAAATAAAGTGTAACCAAAGTTGGAGTTATAAAAATCTTGCAATCCTGTTTCAAGCCAATACTACAGTACATGCCAGTTTTTAGTGATTATAATTTTTTATTAAAAACACAACAACAATAAAAAATAAAGCCACTTACATTAATCACAGAAATAATGAAATAGTTTTACTTTCTATCAAAAAAAAATGGCAGTGGGGGCAAATAGCCTAATGTAATCAGTGAATGGACGAACAACATATAACACCAGGAACACTGCGTCAAGCCTAGTCAGTACTGGCGCAAAAATGACACACTTCACCTCGACACTTGTGAAATTGACTGACTAGTTGCTATGAGAACTGCATGATCCTGTAGTATCCGGCAGACTAATAGTCAATATTACACATCTAATGTGCTGTCTATTTGTGGTATATTGTGGATATTCACCTGTGTTGACATAAAGCATGGAAGTGGCCGCTTACCGTGAAACTGTTGTTGACATTCTTTGTGCTTGATTCGGCAACACTGGCATCTGAAAGATCCACCTCATCGAAAATAAGAGACTGTGGACAGGAGGAGAAACAGGGGGAGAACAGTGAACATTGACGATCACAGTAATGCAACAGATTTAGCATACGCTCATAAACAAATATCTTATGCACAGTGATGCTGAATACTGTTCTACTGAAATGACACGGAAATTAGCTTATTGAGCTACTGCCAAAGGGATCAATCTCGTTCACAGCATCTATATGTTGTTTTGGTCGTTCTGAAATGTTCGAGCAAAGTCTGTCGTCAAAGTAAGTCTGTATAACTATCTTACACGACTGTGTTCTCAAGCAGCAGGCATCTACCTCTGAAAGAAATGACCGCATTTATTGTGCTTCGTCTGCTTGCTCTGAGGCGCAAGTAATTTATCATATGTGACCTTGGACCACAAAACCAGTCATAAGGGTAAATTTTTTGAAATAGAGATTTAGACATCATCTGAAAGCTGAATAAATTAGCTTTCCATTGATGTATGGTTTGTTACAATATGACAATATTTGGCTGAGATACAACTACTTGAAAATCTGGAATCTGAGGGTGCAAAAAAAAAATCTAAATATTGAGAAAATCGCCTTTAAAATTGTCCAAATGAAGTTCTTAGCAATGCATATTACTAATAAAAAATTAAGTTTTGTTATATTTATGGTAGGAAAAGTACAAAATATATTCATGGAACATGATTTTAACTTAATCTCCTAATGATTTTTGGCATAAAAGAAAAATCGATAATTTTGACCCACACAATGCATTGTTGGCTATTGCTACAAATATACCCCAGCGGCTTAAGACTGGTTTTGTGCTCCAGGGTCACATATATGAAAATTATTATATTCAGTGGCTTCTCCTAGATTTCTTAGTAATATTTAGCGCCAGCTTATCAGGAAGTGATGATTTTGTTCTTTTTGACTCGTTGGATGGAAATGGTGCTTTATTCACAAATGTTTTATGCGATATTCAAGTTTTGCAAATAAGTTAAATTTGCATCTTTGGATGGAAACATAGCTGATGTTGACATTAAACAGTTGCGCTGCTTAATATTAGAAACAGTGATGTATTTTTCCAGGATTCTTTGATGAACAGAAAGGTAAAAAGAACAATTTATTGGAAATATAAATCTTTTATAATGTTATAAACATTTTAGTTACTGTCACTTTTGATCAATTTAATGCATCCCTGCTGAATAAATGTATTTATAAATTTCCTATTAAAAACTGACTTTTATAACTGACATTTAAAACAATATACTGTCATTTTGATTTATTTAATAGGCCCTTGCTGAACTATTCATTTCTTTTTTTTTCTTACTGATCCTGAAATTTTTTTTTTTTTTAGTGTACATAATCTTTATTTTTAAAAAAGAAAAAAAACTTTTAACAAATATAATAATGATATATAGCTGCAAGCAGCAATTGCGGGGTTCAAGCATTTTAAGGCCTTGAAGGTGGTATGCTTTTAGGGTCTAGGCCAACCTGGATGTATGGCTGACAGTAAAACACATCCAAAATGGAGAATATG